ACGAACAGTACGTGTTACCTTAACCTTGCCGCTGTTGTTGAACCATTGGATGTAGTAAGGATGTGGATGTGGTCTTGTGGTGAGAGATAGCTTCTCCACCATCTCCATGCTAGCCAAGTTATTGCAGCTCCCTCCATCTATGATGACGCGAACAGAACGTTCCTTCACAACTCCCTTTGTATGGAACAAATTATGCCTCTGATTTTGCTCAGCTTGTGTAACCTGCACACTCAAAACACGTTGAGCAACTAAACATTCATACCTGTCAGCATCTTCAGCAGCCATGTATTGCGTCTCATGATCAGAATCATCTCCACCGTGTTCTTCACGTGTAATAAGAGCCAAAGTCTCCTCATCATAGTCACTAGCGGACTCATACCCACCATCCTCAGTAGCAATCATCACACGCTGAGATTGGCATTCTCTCGCAAAATGTCCTCTTCCCTTACAACGATGACAAATAGTATCACTTGTGTGCCCTATTGATGCCATGGAAGAAGAAGAGCTCTGCGTAGGTCCAGCAGGTGTGCTCTTGGCAGATAGTGATGGTTGTGCCTGCTTTCTTGTATCACGGCTGGAGGTGGCACCTGATGGAGGTGCTGGTGGAGTGGAAATAGAGGATGCACGTGGTGTCCATGGTGAAGATCGACCTGCAGAAAAGTTAGTTCGCGCCAATGCCTGTCGATCCTGCACTTCACGTTCAGCTTTACAAGCAAGATGGAATAAATGAGTGATATTATTATACTCCTTATACTCTAGGATGGTCTGAATCTCTCTATTTAACCCATCCATAAAACGTGCAAGCATAGCTTCATTCTCCTCAACAATACCACATCTAATCATGCCAGTTTGTAATTCCTGATAATATTCTTCTACAGAATTTTTTCCTTGTCTTAAACGCTGCAATTTTTGAAGTAATTCACGTTGATAATATGGTGGAACCCAACGAGTATGCATAGTAGTTTTCAAAGCAGCCCAAGTAGCTGGAATAGGATATAATCTACAATGCTCAGACCACCAAACACATGCAGAACTAGTGAATGCACAAACAGCAGCAGGAACACGTCTCTCCTCGGGATATTGTAAACATGTAAATCGTTGTTCAGTTTCTAACTCCCAAGTAAGATATATATCAGGAACATATCTACCCTCAAATGGTGGAATATTCAATTTTAGTTTAGGGAGATGGTCATGATCTCTTACCTGAGGGTGAGCCCTACCATTGCCATTATTTGCATGTGGATGACCTGGTGGTTGCTATGCTGGTGGTGGCACGTAGTTCTGATTTTGATCAACCTCATCCTCGTAATCTCCAGCAAAATCCTCCTCCTCCGCATCAGCAGCAGGAGCCACAGAAGTATCAACAGCAGCACCAACAGTTTGGCCAGGTGCAAGAGGGAGATGGCTCGCTCGGCGAAGGGCTATTTCACGATGTGTAGGTAGTCGTTGTCGTTGTTGTTGTAGAGGTGCGTGAGGTGCAACCGGTGGTGGTGGTGGAAGACGCGCGAGCAATTCATTAAACCTGTTATCGAGCTTTGTTTCGAACGTCTTCTCCATGCCATCTATCTTCTCCATGGCCTCTTCAAATATGTTTAGCACATCTTGCACCTGTCCACTCATCATTTGCTGAAATTTATCATGCAACTCCTTATTCGTCATGTTCTCCCAGTCAGTCTCGTCGGCTTGTGATCCTGCCATGGTTAGCAACAATAGAAACACACAAGAATATGATCCTACAGAATACTAACAAGAGGTGGTGGTGGTGTCACAAATCCGTCAAGCCAATCTCAAATTCTTACCAGTTCTTACCCAGCAGCAGGCGGTGATCGGCAACCGTCGTAGTCAAAACTCTCAAAGCTTGGATAGAGCGATTACCAGGGAGAGTCAAACGCACGACGTAGATGTATGTGGAGCTGGGAAGGCTTATAATATGGTAGCAAAAAGGGTCAGCAACAATCAATTCAGAGATGCAAAGTTGAATAAACGCTCAACGACGGTGTTGTGCTGGTCCTAGGCTAGACCGTGCTAGAGACGCGAGCCTAGAACACTAACAAAATCACGGCGCTGCACGTAAACAATGGAGGAGCACACTCTGGATTTTTTTTCATTTTTTCACTTTTTTGCACTTTTTTTCTCTTTTTTTACTCTGCAACAATTTTTTTCGAAAAAGTCTACAAATGGTCTAAAAACTGCCTAGCCAGAATTTTTCAGACTTAGTTTTTTTTAGTTTGGAACTATTTTTCTACTGCGGGTAGCACGGAATCTCAGGAGTCCTACTCTCTCACGACTCGGAGTATGGCATGATCTGGAACTCGAAAACAAAGCAACAAATACTGGACTCAGACTAGGACTGGTGGCGGAGATGAATCTGGTGGAACTCGGACTGTGGTGGTATATCTGGACTCGGATTGGTGGTGGTATATGGCGATGGTATATCTAGACTCGGATTGGTGGTAGTATATGGCGATGGTATATGTGGACTCAGATTGGTGGTTGTATATGGCAGCGGGGATGTATATGGTGGGGTGGTGGTATATAATAATGATGATGACGATGGTGCGGCGGCGGCGTGACAACCTGTGAACAGAACACGAAACTCTAAAGAACTAGACGCTAAGACCAGCAACTTGACACGACGATGCAACCGCAAATGCAACAAAGCAAATATAGAAAAGATTATGCAAAGGCTCAGATTCTTTTAGTTTTTTATGTAAGTTTAGGGGGGTAATGAAACAGGAAAAAAACCAATTATTTGAACCACCAAGTTTCTTCAAGCTAGTAAAATGAAAAAAAAAATCAATTATCAAGTTTCTTAGTAAAATGAAATTCTTTAAGTTTTTTATGTACCCAAGTTTCTTCAAGGTAGTAAAATGATTTTTTTTCAATTATTTAAGTGCGCAAGCACCATTGCCACGTCTACACTAGATCGAGGCAAACTACCCAAAGGCGTTATTTGGCCGGTATTGGATTGTTTAAGGGGTAATGAAACAGGAAAAAAAACATCAACGGATTATTTGAACCACCAAGTTTCTTCAAGGTAGTAAAATGATTTTGTTTCAATTATCAAGTTTCTTCAAGGTAGTAAAATGAAATTCTTTCAATTATTTAAGTGCCCAAGCACCATTGCCACGTCTGCACTAGATCGAGGCAAACCACCCAAAGGCGTTCTTTGGCCGGTATTGGATTGTTTAGGGAGGGGTAATGAAACAGGAAAAAAAATTAAACGGATTATTTGAACCACCAAGTTTCTTCAAGGTAGTAAAATGAAAAAATTTCAATTATCAAGTTTCTTGGTGAAATGTAATTTTTTTCAATTATTTATGTGCCCAAGCACCATTGCCATGTATGCACTAGATCGAGGCAAACCATCCAAAGACGTTCTTTGGCCTGTATTGGATTGTTTAGGGGGGTAATGAAACATGGAAAAACTTCAATGGATTATTTGAACCACCAAGTTTCTTCAAGGTAGTAAAATGAAAAAAATTCAATTATTAAGTTTCTTGGTATTTGAACCACCAAGTTTCTTCAAGGTAGTAAAATGATTTTTTTTCAATTATCAAGTTTCTTCAAGGTAGTAAAATGAAATTCTTTC